ACGTCGCCGTCCCGGGCCGCCGGCGAGCGGGGGACGCTTTCGAAATGCGCGGGGCCGCGGATCATTGGAGCCCGCGAGGGGTGGGAGCGCGCTGCGGGCCCGGGAGGTTCTCCCCTTAGCCGCAGCCCCCCGGGCGCCCTGGAGGGGGCCGGGTACGGGTGTGTTTTGGGGGGTCTATCGGTGGAAAGGAATCGGGGGGGTCCTTGGCTTCTTTCTCGGTGCAGAAGAGAAAGAGAAGCGGGGGTGGGGGGGGCAAGTTTCCGAGAAGCCGCCCAGTCTGGCTGCGCTGGCCCCCGGGGCGCAACCGGCCGGCACGGCCTCGGGCGTTCGCTCGGGGCGCGGGAACTGCACGCAGCAAGCGGGGCGCGGGGGCGCGGGGGCTCCTCGCCCTCGCGATCCCGCCGGCGCCGCTGCGGGAGAACGCGGGACGGGGCGGCGAGTGACCAGCGCCCGTGGCCCGCGGGGCGGGCAGCCGCATCTCGGCCGACGGACGCGGGCGGCGGGTCCCGCTCCCCGAGGTGGGGTGGCGCCCCGGATGGCGGGGTTCGGGGAGCCCTGCGGGAGACCCCGAGGCGGGGAACTGCGTTCCGGGGGTACGTGCAGGGCGCGGCCGACACCCGAGTCTTCGAGGCGCGGCGTTCCCAAATAGCGATCTCCAAAACCAAGAACGACGCCTCTTGGGGGTGGGGGAGAGGGAAACCGGGAACCTGCAGCAATTAAGAGGATTTTCCGCCCCCCTCTCCGTTAGAGACACTTTTTGGGAAGCCTCCTTTGGGGTTTAGAGAAACTGAAGTTTGATTTCCCGACTCTCCCTCCTTCTACCCCATTTTGAATTGTTTTTCTTGCTTTCTCGTTCTCTTCCTGAAATACACCCGTGTGCGTGTTTGGAATAGAAACATTTGAAAAAGGTTGAGTCTTTAATTAAATCTTTTTTAACTTGTAAGAGGTAGCTCAAGTCATCAAAAACAGATGACAGACAGGCACACACACACACAGACACATACACACACACACAAGCTTCGTATCAGTTAACTGAATCTATCTTGTCAAGAACGCTTACTAGGAGTGCAACCAGGTAAGTCAGATATTTATGAAGGAAACGATCTAACCTAAAGCCACGTTTTTGCCACTCAACTCTTAACAGATTCCTCGAAAAAGTTGCTGACTCCTATACCTTATTAAACCATTTTTGAAGACAGTGAGCAGTTACAGAAATCATTTTCAGCGAAGCTAACATTAAAATGCCGTTTACACTTTTAAGTGAAATCAGAATCTCTGCCCTGTGCATATGGGGACCCCAAATCCTCAGATTTAGATGAACCTGTTTTCAGTTGTGTAGATAACTAGGAAATTTAGAACTTGAGGCATTTAGGTGACAACCAGTTTGTTTTTGTGTGTGTGTGTGTGTGTTTTTTTTTTTTTTTTGGCATAAGTGTTCTAACTGTGCATACACGCCAGTTCCTAAAGGATCTGTTTTGGACAAACAGTATAGTCGAGATGGTGGGAGCACTGTTGTTGCATTTCTTCACAACTTTGCATGTGTGAATCCAGAGTTTGGAGAAGTCACCGAGTTACTTTCATTTTCAATCTTGCCAAAGTGTGATCAGTCTACACTTACGTAAGAAATTTTGGTTCTGACACACTCATATCCTAGAAGACGTAAATATTTGAATGCCTAGAGATTTTGACAATCTTTTTTATGTGAAAATGCGGTTTCTCCACATCTCCGGCATCACTGCACTCATACAGAAGCAAGTGGAAATAGTGACGGCGACATCGGGGCCCACATAAACAGCTTGTGAGTTGTGAGCCTGACTTTTCTAGATATTTGTCACTGTCTATTGTTATTTGTGTAAATATAACTAGTCATTACCTCCAGCTTAGTAAAGCACAAAGCACGCTACAGCTCAGTGAATAGCTATGAAGTTTTCTTTATTGATTGCTTGATGTGTAACAATAATCGGCATCTTTTTCACACATTACAAAAAAATTATACGTGGCTCAGTATGCAATCTTTTAAGCATAGCCGTATTATTTAACAGAAGAGGGGGAAAAGAAACCTATACTACCCAACACAGCATTTACAAATGCACAAAACATGCCACTTTGGCTTGTATATTGTCTAGATTAAAAAAAAAAAATCTCTTTTAACATAAATAAGTTAGTATAATTTTTCAGTGTTTTTACAGAGTTATGTACACAGGTACATTTAAAATGGTTTGTTTCATACATACACAGGAAATGTAAAAATACTGTTTAAAAATGTAGTATCCATCCCCCCTTTTCCCCACCAGTATGCTGACTCTCCAGGCACTTTCCTTTAAAAACACCATTCTCCTTTGGGCAAATTAACAAATCAAATGAGACACTTTCAATTAAAAAATCATTTCATTTTTTTAATGACATTATTTCTAGATCTTAAAAAAAATGCCAAGGATTTAGAATTATGGCGACTGTCTGCACAGCTCAAAGTGAAAAAGACATTTTCTCAACAAATCTGGTAAAACTTGGATAGTCATTTTTGAGCATTCAGAATTCCCCTGATGCACCCCAGATTTTTTTTGCCCAGAATTACCTGGAGTGATTTTTCCTAACTGATGAATAATTAACTGGTAAATTCCAACTTGAAGCAAGAATGGGGGCAGGGGGGAGAAACACTGAAAAAAGTTTTTTTCTTTTAAAAAAAAAAAAAAGACTTTTACTGTCATGTAACGGAATTACCAGAGCTCCGGAATGAGAATATACTTTGTAAGTCAATATTGGTATTTGGATGAATTTTGAATCAAGTATCAGTTCTCACCGAAAGGAAGAAAACAATTCAAACCCTTCCCCCAAACCGCTTCTTTTAACACAAGTCCACTATTTTTTTTTCTCCTTGCTATAAATCAAAGCAAGCTCTTCGAATCCCCCCCACCCTGCCAATTTCTCCAGCCCTCCCTGCCCTCCCTCCCTGAAGTTTTATGTGCTACATAAAAGGTAAAAACTATATACACAGGTAGTACAATGAAGCAAATAAGGAACACCTAGTTGCACAATGCTACATCCATCGCTTTTAGAGGCAGGTCATTTAAGAACGCCTAACATTTTAGTGTTATCATGTTGTTGCTTTTCAGTGCTTATACAGGATGTCCACTCCTCGGAGTCAGCAATACGTATTTTAATTTTTTTTCCACTTTTATCTTCCTTGCTTCATCAAGCAGTGATGTAGCCGATAAACAAGGAAACAGACCCCAGTTCTGCAAAAGAAACAAAGCAGCAAGAATTAGGAGAAGAGCGCTGGCCAATGTGGCCTAGTCTGAGCCCAGAAGCCCCAGCCCGTGGAAAGGAAACGTGCCCACGGGAGCTGCTGCCTGCATCATCTCTCCACCCGGGGTCCTTCCTGGCCTCTGTGTTGTGCACTTTCATCTACAGCGGGTTTACAACAGCGAGCAACTGTACCTCCCAGGGGGGATTTGGCAATGTTTGGAGACATTTTTGGTTGTGCAGCACTGGGGGTCTGGGTGATGGGAGGGTGCTGGGGGGGCGGTGCAGAAGAGGCCAGGGATGCTGCTACAGCACACAGGCCAGCCCCCACAACAAAGAATTATTCTGTCCCAAATGTCAGGAGTGTAGAAGACTGAGAATCCTAGTTTAGAGCAGGGCAGAGGTGGAGGAAAATTCAGAAACAGGTACACTTTCACAGCAACAAAATGCTCTAGATTTGAAAAGAAACTAGAATCATAAATAGGAAAAACATAATTGGCACTCACAAGGAAACTTTTTTTTTCTCCCTTTTTCTCCCCCAGAGCATTCTGGTGTCTTAGTCATCTGTAGAATATAGCTACTCCCATTTTGACTAATCTCTGAACTGGCGATACAGAGCAACAAACGCCAGGGACGGGATGGTGCCAGGCCAGAATGGACGCCTGCCACACTCCCACTGTGGCTCATCTGATGAGCTAGGCCACAAGTCACAAACCAACATGCAGCAAATAGGAATGCTGTTTCAGGAGACATTTTCCCACTGCTACAATATTGATTCCAGAATGCTGCTTTGTAGTGTTTCTGAAAAAACATCAGTTAATGTGAGTAAGGGGTGTGTGTGTGTGTGTGTGTGTGTGTGTGTAAGGATCACAAAAAACAAACTTGAATTCCCATTTAACTGTTGTGTTGGTAGGCTGTGAAAAGCAAGGTCAACGTTTATTGAAAGTTCTTTCTATGTTAGTGTATTTATTGGGGAGCTGGGGGTGGCCCAAATCTCTAAGATGTTTACAAACTACTAATGTATGTGCGTTTGATCATTGGGAGAGCCAATTCATAGGAAGTGGGAGGGGGCTGAGTTATTCAAATTAGTTATGCATGTTAATCAGTGTAGTAATGGAAAAGTCTCCACTTCCCTTGTACGGGCCAGCCCTGGCCAGCCCTGATATCTACTCTCCATTTCCCCTACAAATAGCCAAATCATCCTGTTCTCCAGCGATTAGCATACACATGCTGACGTGTTCCTGGATTGCTTACTTACTCCAGCAGAGTAAATTTTACTTCTGCTTTACAACTTCTGGGTAGAGAAATACAAGAGGAACTTAAGTATTTTTTGAGCTTTCCTTTTAGACTTAAAAAAAAAACTACACCAGTTCCCTTCACGTCCACTAACTTCTCAGTAAACAAGGAAAGGGACAGTTTTTCTTGGGGGGGGGGGGCGGGGGAAGGGAAGAAAACCGACTGAAGAATGTAACCTACCTCCCTTTCACTTTTAAAATCTTTTGATCCTCCAAAGAGGGGGCCCACCTTGTGGCTAACCTTCCCCTCCAACGTGGACCTGTAACCACTGCCTGCCATTCCTCCCTGTCTCCGTCAAAATAGCGCTCCAAGGAAACCTCAGGGAAATGTGGGGTTGAGTTGATTGCCCAGGTCTCGGTGGGGGGGAGGGGGACGCCTCTTCCCAGCACGTCTGGGCGGTGCTCACGGGGACTGGGTCCAAGCCCAAAAGCCCAGGCCACTTGTCCTCATGTCAGATTCCAAGGAAAAGTGTCTCTGGTCCAACTAACCGTTGGCTTTACGTCTGGCGTCTTCGCATCCCCGGCTTCTTGGGCGTCTGCTCCACGGAGCCGCCGTTGGGGGAACCGTCGGGAACGTTTTCTTCTGTTCTGTTGGCTCTTTTGTTTTGAGCACTGGAATCTGGGGGCGAGGAGGAATGAGCACACGCATGAAATCCCTAGCAGCAAGGCACAAAGGGCTGACACAAGCCGGCCCACTTAGCAGGGCGCCCCCAGACCCACGGTGTCCACCCACAGTCATGACCCGTCGGGTCCCAGTCAGTGGCCTTTACGGGCCCGCAACAGTGGCGGTGTGTCTCGAACTGAGGGTGCATTCTACAGCCCGGGGGTGGGGGTGGGGGATGGGGGGGTACGAGTGGAGAGGGAGGCCCCGCTTCCCCCCCCCTCCGCTGATAAACACCCCAACCTTGTCAGCGCCCTGCGCCTGGAGGGGTGGATCCGTAGTGATGTTTTTCAGTGTAAGAGCAATTATCAGATAACACAATCTCAGGCTTCCGACTCAAAAATCATAAACAGGCGCCGCGAGTCGGCTCGCGGGCGTTGCAAAGCGGAGACGAGGAAAGTTTCACAACCACCAGCCCCCCCCCCCGCCCCTCCCCGTCCCGCTACCGCACCCCCAGCAGAATCGAAGGCGCTGCAAAACAAAGTCGACGTAAAGACCTCAAGGAGGCAAAGCTTTCCCCTCCCCCCCCAACCACACACCCCAGGACAGACGGGACGGCCGGAGGAGAGGAGCAGGACAGGCATTTCTCGCTTGGGGGGGGGGGGTCCCCTACCTTCCGCCGCAGGTCGCTTCCTGCACTGCTCGGCGAGCCCCGTCTGGCTGTCCGCAGCATCGCTCTTCTGCTCCCCCAAATGCGTGTCCTCTGAGTTTGCCTGGGACCCCATTAAAGGCACCGGCTGGCGATGCCCGCTGACACCCTGGCTCTCCGGCGCCGGCACCTTGCAGGCGCCCTTCGGGGGGCGCGGGGGTCTGTAGTAGAACTCGGGCAAGCTGCTCTTCTCCACCTCCTGCCACTCGTACTTGCCCTCCAGGGGCTTGTGGTTCTGGAAATCGAAATTCCACTTGCGCTGGCTCGCCTCCTCCATGTCTCGGCAGTGCTTCTCCAAGTCCCGGGTTAACTCTTCGTGATTGACCGGGCCGAAGAGGTTCCTGCAGGCCGACGGCTTGGGGTACTCGGCCGCCCGGCCGTCCATCCGCTCCAGGCTCGGGCTCCCGTTGGGCACCCGCACGTTTGACATCTTCCTTCCCCGCCTCGGCGCGGCCGCTCGGAGCGCGCGCGATCCGAAAAAAAGCAAAACAAAACAAAAAAACCCAAAACCCGAGCGAGCCCAGCAACGCCCCGACGCAGCCCGCAGCTCGCTCGCTCGCAGGCTCCTCCGGCCGCCGCTCGCCCGGCGCGCCAAGAGCAACAACACACGGACGAGTAACTGCGCGGGCGTCAGGAGCGCGCGGGCGCGGGGGTGGGGGCGAGGGGGGAAGCCCCGGCCCCGGCCGGCCCGAGTCGCGGCGGATCAAGTGGACGGGGAGGGCGGGGAGCCGGGATGGGAGGGAGGGAGGGAGGGAGGGAGCGGGGGGCGGGTGGCCCGGCCCCGCCGAGTCCCGGCCGCTGCGAGCCCGCGGGTCCCCACGACCCCCGGCGGCTCCCCCAAACCTTGGCGGGCGGTCCCGGTACCGGAGCGGGCGAAGCGCGCCCGGGAGCGCGCGCGCGCGCGGGGGAGCCGGGGAGGCGGGCGGGCGGGCGGGCGAGAGAGGAGCACCCCGAAAAAAAGGCGAGCCCCCTTTTTTAAGTGGCCAATATGGCGGTGGAGGGGAGGCTGACGAAGAGGAAGATGATTGACAGCGCGAGTCTATTTAAACAGAGGCCGCGATCCATTGGTCGCGGCGCCGGGAGCCGCCCAGCCCCGGGCCGGGAGCGCGGCCTTAAGGTGGCCCCGCGCGCCGCCGCCGCCGCCGCCGCCTCCCCGCCTCCGCCCGCAGATTGGCTGCTCGCGTGATGGCTGGAGGGCGCCGGCTGCCAGCAAACCTGCTCCGGCTGGCCTCGGAGAAATTAAAAATAAGACAAACAAACGAGCCAAACGGCCGCGGGAGCCGGGGAGGGGCCTGCGCGGCGCGGCGCGGCGGCCGGGGCCTGCGCTCGGCTTCCCCGCCGCTGCCCGGAGCCCCGAACTCCCGCGCCGGGTTGCGTTGGGGTGGGGGGTGGGGAACGAAGGGGGGCGCGCCCCGACGGCCGGCCCGGCCCGGCCCTCCGCCTCGGGGAGTTTGGGGCCCCCGCCCGGGAGGTGCGGGCGGGGAGGGGAGGGGAGGGGACGTTCACTGCGCGGCGGCGCGGGAGTGTGGGGGTCCCCCCCAGGCGAGGGTGCCGCCGCGGCGGGGGGGGGGGGGGATGAGCAGTGCTTCGCTCCCCCTCTTCTCGCCCAAGCGTTTGCTGTCCGCGAGGGAGGGGCACGGAGCCTCGCAAGAAGCCCACGCGAACTTTCTCGACTTTAGCTCGGAGTGGACTTAAGTGCCGCGCTTGGGAACGGCTGAGCCGGAGCTCGCCCTTCCTAGAAACCCAAGTATTTCGGGCTACAAAAACAAAAAGCTCGAGTCCCTAATGATGTTGCCCAGAGTCAGTTCGCATCCCCGAGGTGTCACCCTCCCCCTCCTATCCCCCCGCACCCCCCCCCACTCGCGCCCGTGGCTTCTTCGAAGGCCGGTGGGGGTGCGTGTGGGAACTCTGCAAATTTTCTCTCTTTCTGGGGGGGGGGGGGGGGGGGTTGTAGCAGTTCCCTCTACTTGTGCCGGGCTGCCAAGCGCAAGGTCTGCACCACCACCTTTTAGGGCCTCCAGATTCACCAGAATCACCTAGAATAATGTCCAGGCGACCTGCTGTCTCCCCAGGGCTCTGAGGCCTTGGAGAGTGAAAACAGCGTCGGGACGAGGGATTTATACAACCACTGCACCTGTGTGAACTAACTCTAGAATTTCTGCTCTGCACCTTGGATCTCTGTGGTCCTGGGCAGGGTGGTGGGAATTAAAACAGAAAGAGCAGGTCCACCCGGGCAGAGACAGCTCCACAGGGCCTGCCCCGGCCCCATGGCCCCTTATGATCTTGGTCTGGGCCAGAGTCCATTCTTTGGGCTGCCAAGAACCACCTTTAGTTCTAACAATCCTGAGTGTGGCCACTAGCCCCCAGTGCCCCTGGCTGCCAAAAGGTCTACTCTCTAACTTGACTATTTGTCCACTCTAGGTGGGGAGTGGGGGGGGGGGCTCCCCTCACACCCTTCCAAAGAACTGCCAGGAGGGCCCTTGTGTGTCCCCACCCTCTCTTTTTACCAAACAGCAAACTGTGTTCCTTGAGATGTTTCCTGTTCAGGGACACAGAGCCGGTGGGTAGCCCAGCCAGGACGGCCTGGGAACACTCAGACTGGTTCTTTGGCTGTTCCTGTCCTTCCCGGTGGCCCCAGCTGCCTCGAGCTTTTGTCTCGAGGCACCTGTACCTTCGCTCCCCAGCTCATTCAGAATGCCCCCTGCCTGCTGCAGCTGTTTCCTGCGTGTGGCCCGGGGTCGCTGAGGCCTCAGGCAGCCGAGGCAGCTGTCTCTGCCCTTTGGTGTCACTCTCCACTCCCTCGGCTGAAATGCAGATTCCCAAAGGGGAAAAGCCCAAGAGCAGGGAGGAGGCCGGTGTCCAAAGTCTCCCTCTACCCCGAGCCCACAACAGAGGTATCTGCAGTGCCCGCCTCCAGACCATCATTTGCACCCTAGCGCTGGTACTAAAGCCTTGTCCAAAAATAAATAAATAAATAAAATTTTTTTTGGATAATTGCTGGGCTATACAGGAATTCTGTGCTATCTGGAGGCATAGCTCCGCAGACATAAAATCCTGCCACCAAAGTTGAAGCAGAACCTCACCACCCAAGCCTGATGATCATCTCTTCACCGGGCAGCAGGATCTCAAAATAGAGAAAAGCAATCCTGTGATCCCCACACCCGCACTTGCTGGACCCCTCCCCTTCCCCAGCTCCAAGGGAGGAGCCCCATTTTGTGGCTTTGTGAATCTTGGAAAGTAACCGGGCCACAGTCACGCCACCTTAAGACACGGGACTGTGTTGACAGCGACCACGCCTCAACTAGGTGGAACAAAACGCTAGAGTTTTGTTGACTGCGGCGGTGGCAGCGGGCTGTCCCGCGCCGGAGGAGCGGGTCCCCGGCGGGTGCGAGGGATGCAGGAAGGGCAGGGGGTGGGGGTGGGGCAGCGCCCAGTCACCCTCCCCGCGGATAGGGGGGCGGCGGTGCGCCAGCCAAGTTTTAAAGTTTGGGGTCGACGGCAGCGGCTAGGCGGGGCCCGGGCGGGAGGAGGTGAGGGAGGAGGAGGAGGAGGAGGAGGGTGGGCCGGTTCCCTCTGGGTGCTGCTCTAAGATGGATCTTGCGTCCCCAACACCCAGTCCTGCGGCCGCTTTCTTTCCCGTATGCCAGGTGCCCTCTGAAAGTTGCCAATGTCACTGGGCACCTGAGATTCCTGTGTCCCCTGCATGCCCGGGAGAGGAAGCAAAGCGACATGAAGCACCTGTGTAAGAGACCAATGTTCCCGTGGGGGCGCGGGAGACAGCCCCCTGGGTGGATGCCTACCCATCCAACCCTCCCCCCAGAACCCTGATTCCTCCTATGGCGAGGGTCGGGGTCCCTCCTGGGAGGCAGCTTTCACTCCATTTCAATCTCACGGATCAGACGCATTGAGCAGGCGCTATGAAGTTGAGGGCCTGTCCTTCCCGCCTGCCCTCTTTAGACAAATATTGACCCGCGGGTCTTAAATATGGAAGTAAGGCAGCATCTGGGGGCGTCTGAGTAAACAGATTGAAACGTGGCTGAAACTTACAAAAGGGAGAGGGGAGAGAAAATAAACACAGTGCAAATATAAGATATATACAATGTAAAGCCATGGTTGGTGCTTTGCAGAAAATAACAAGCAGGTGGGGGAAGGGAGGGGAAGAGGGTTGGGAGGGTTTGATGCAGTAGAAGGCTCCAGAAAGTTACTTTGGAGAGAGCTGGGCCCCCTTTTCACATCTAAAGACATCTGAGGAGTCCAGACGCGGGAGGAACCAAGGCAAAGGTGCCCCCTTGCCTCTCACCCATTCTGCCATGGGGTCTCACCAGACCTTCCGGGTCTGAAATGGTCCTTGACATTGGGGAGGGAGAAGTTCAGCTTGGAAGGAAGTGATCACCCAGTGTGGTATGCCTCAAAGTGTTCTTCTCAGTTGCTAGAGAGTGAAAGAAAGGGTACCCAGGTCCAGCCCTGGCCTCTGGGGAGTGCCCCGTGACCTGGAGACAGCCAAAGCAGACAAAGCTTCAGTGATAGAAAGACAAAGGAGGGGGCTGGAGTGATAGCACAGCTGGTAGGGCGTTTGCTTTGCACGTGGCCAACCAGGGTTCGATTCCCAGCATCCCATATGGTCCCCCGAGCACTGCCAGGAGTAATTTCTGAGTGCAGAGCCAGGAGTAACCCCTGTGCATCGCGGAGTGTGACCCAAAAAAGAAAAGAAAGACAAAGGAGGAACAAAGACAAAGGAGGAACAAAGAAGAAGACTTCCTGGAGAAGGTGACAGGCCTAGCTAGAAATCAGCCCTTGCGGAGTGAGGCTAAGTCAAGATTAGAAGGTTGTAGCAAGGGGGCGGGGACCCAAGGGAGGCCATGGATGGTAGGTAACAGAATAAAACCCACGCATTCAGTGAGGGGACTGAAGAAAAGAATGCCACCACCTTTCCTGTAGAGCCTCTTCGACAAAAGCACCCCTGGGCTGTGGGCCTGCTGAAAGAGGGTTAATGAGACAGTGTCCAGGGACAGAGCTAATGAACAGCTGGGCAGGCAGCAGGCTAGGGTCTCACAGGGGAGCCAGAGGGGACACAGCGGCCTGTGACAGGGTCCCAAGAGGCAGATGAGGTGCATGAGTGCATGAGCCAGGAGTAACCCCTGAGCATCGCAGGGTGTGACCCAAAAAGAAAAAAAAAAGAAGAAAGAAAGAAAAGAAAGACAAAGGAGGAACAAAGAGGAAGACTTCCTGGAGGAGGTGATAGGTCTAGCCAGAAATCACTTCTTGCAGAGTGAAGTTATCTGTCTTGATGCACAGAGAGGCGTCCAGGGTCCTGCGCTGCCTGAACCATCCAAGCTTTGTGTTCAGAAGTGGCCTTGCCAGTGGAAGAAGGGATGGGTGGGGTGTGCGGGGAGGCTGACCCTACCAGGAATGCTGGAGGCTGATGGGATCGGCTCCAGCAAAAGCCACTCAGCACCTGCGCCCGGGCTGCACAGAAGGAGGGGAAGGGAAGACACACACAGAGAGGA